GGCTCTGTTTGGCCAGGTGGGGTCAGCCCCCACCCCCGGGCTGTGCCCCTTCCTGGATTCCAGTGAAAATTAACCCTGTCCTGGCCAAACCCAGGACACTCTGGCCTTTCTGGACTGTGAAATCACCTTGAGTAGTATCGACCCAATAGTGCCGTGGGCTACAGAACTTCTTCTGTTCACTTAGCATTCATAAGATGACATATTTTGTAAATTATTGTTTAGTAAATACCATAACAAGTTGGAAGAAGCTTACTGGAATTTTAATGTTAAAATGCCATAAAGTTTTACATTTCATATTCAGAGTTGATATTTGGATGGCTTCAGAACATAGTCAAATTGACAAAAGCTCTTCTGGAATAGGATTCCAGTTCTATTCAGTTGCTTTTCGGAAACGGGGCCATGCTTAAGAGGGACAGCCAGGGACATTCGTATTGTGCTGCTAGAGGTGAAATTCTTGGACCGGTGCAAGATTGCCTAGAGCGAAAGCATTTTCCAGGAATGTTTTAATTAGCCAAGAATGAAAGTCAGACGTTCAAAGATGATCAGATACTGTTGTAGTTCTGACCATAAATGACACTGACTGGCACTAAATTCTTAAGAACAGTCTCTGTGGCGCAACTGGTCAGCGCATTTGGCTGTTAACCAAAAGGTTGGTGGTTCGAGCCCACCCAGGGACGTGTTCTCCTCTCCCTGCCAATGGCAGAATGGTTGGAACTAGACGACCTTTAAAGTCCCTTTCAACCCAAACCATTCTACAATTCTAAAAGAAATAGCATGAGGTCATCTACAAAGGGATTTTACCATGATACAGATTGGGAAAAAACGGCTATTCACAGCTGCACAAACTTCCCAAAACTGTTTGTTCTGAGGACAACATTTGATAGTCCGAGTGCAGCCTGTATGTTTCATATATAGCACAGTTATAAATCACAGAAAATAGATCCTTAAAGGAAGTAAACACTTCCCTTGTATTTGTTTTTGTTTTTAACACACACTAATACTGATTCTTGACACACTGAGACTTGATTCTATCTTCATGTAAAAAATAATGGCTAATATGACTTTGACTTCACTGAGAGAATGAATATGCATACAGCTCTACTTTATGTGTTCAGTAGATATTCTTCCCATTTTTTGATAGACAGAACTTTTTTTTTTTTTTTAAATCCTATGGCACTGTCTTCCTGCTGTTCACAAAACCTGTGCTAGCTCTCAGTCTTCAGATTTGTGCTCTAGGCCTCCTCAAAGCATGGAGACATTCCAATGTAAGGAGTAACATGTTTTCAGAGGTCCTTCAGAATGATCACTGCTGTTCCAGCTTAAAATATTGTCAGATCAAATTAAAAATAAAAAAAAATAAATCCAGAGTAAACAACTCAATAAGCCACAAGCATATGCTGATTTAGGGACTAGCTGAAGCACTGTCTCACAGAGTTTCAGTGTAACTCAGAAGAGGTTTCTGCAACGGATCTGAACCAGTAGAAGATGCAGTTTGTGACGGTGGCTCTATTGACAGGTATCAGATCTCTATATGTGTATCTGCTCTTTTTCTAGCTCTCATGCCCGCGATACATCTGTCTCACCTGTAAATAGTGTACTCATTGGGCACCACTGAGGAGGGGTCTGAACCATTCTTCTTCCCGAAGTTGCCTGTCCAGAGTACAGTGTCGTTGTAGATAACAATGGCAGATATGGCAGGGAGACCAGAGCTATGAATCTTTTGGCGCAGCATCATATCTACCTGGAGAATGATGGGAAATAATGAATATCTAAATGAAGAGTCTTATAATGCATCTAGTCTGTAACAGGTGGTAGAAGACCCAGGACATCAGCCCTCCTTACTTCCAAGCACTTGAAAGTGATTTTTTCAAATGTGTTTTGGCATAAGAAAATATTTTAACTGTACTCGTTCCTCAGAATTGCTTATGCTGGGTTATCCAGTACCTTTGTTTCAATCTACAAGTCCACCGTGTAGAAGATGTGGTGCTCATCCTTTTAATACCTATGATGTTTATATGATTAAAACCAAACATTAAAACCTAATAATTGCAATTTCTCCCTTTTTAAATTGTACTGTGCACTTCTGTCCTTTGCACTAGTATTTTAGGTTCAAAGATGCATGAGAAAAAGATCCAGACTTTTCAAATATTCCACGACACTTTTCATGTCATGAAACATGCTAGAGTTTGGACTCCTGTTTAAACTGCCATCTGAGAAAATGCACTGAGCAGTTAGAGGGCTGTGACTGCTCTTTGCTCCCTGTTGTGCCAGGACTGTGTAGACCTTATCAGCCAGCTGTGCTCCACCCATCTCCTGCAAGCAGAATGCATTGGTCTTGCTCTTCTATGACTTTTTCGAAGCTATGTCATCATCATGCATAGGTTATCTTCTGTGCAGAGAGGTTAAGACATAAGAAATGGCCTTCCAAGCCCAGTACTTGAGACAGGAAAGGCCAAGCCAAATCATGTCCTCCGGACCTTTTTACCGAATGGACTGATGAGGCACACCAACAGCCAGCAGTGGGAACATCCAACTTGTGCCAAGTCCTTCTGTAGTGGTTCTTTGCTCTCTCCTCCCCATCTGCCAGTAGCTCATCTAGTATAGCTGGGCACACCAGCACCTCCAGAGAACAGACTGGTCTCATGTCAGCAAGCATGGTCCTCCTTAGACTTCTCTCAGAGAAAGTCTGGCATGTAGACCTGCCTGGACCTGCAGAAAGTTGATAGAAATACGTAATGGTCTTCTTGACTTGAGTGTCATCGAATACTCAACACTTGGATTTGGCCACCAGCAAGACTCTTCTGAGGAAAATGTAGGCTTTTCTGATAAACAAAAGTATTTACCCTCAGAAGACAAATGTTTCCTTAAGCCTCATGCATGAGCAAATGCCACTCTCCTGTTTTGAACTTCTGTGGGCTAGGAAAAAGTCCTCCCCTGTATGCAGTATAATCACATCTGGCACTGTACAGAATCCCAGTTCCAGGGTCCCTGGCCTGGCACAGGATGGTAGTTTGTCTCAGGTAGGGCAAGATCTTTAGCGTGGGTTCAAGTGTCCACAGACTTAGGCAGAACCTAAGGGCACATGAAGATATACTTCTGAGGTTCTGGTGCCTCAGTCCCCCTCAAATACCTATGTCTTCCTACGCATCTAGTGTTCAGGTTCTCTGTGCCTTATTCCATCTGCAAAATAGGAATAGTTTTACCAGCCTACATCAGAGAAGTGCTTGGATACTTCACGTCTGAGGAGCACAAAGCAGGGAGGTTAGATGACTCTCTGATGGACACTCAATGTTATGCACCACCCCACCTCCTTGACTAATCCTAATTGAATAATAAAATAAATCTCTACAGTAACCCCAGAGACAGCAGCAGAAACTTCATAAAAGTGAATGTGAAGTGATAGCAATTGAAATTCAGTGCAGATAAAGCGTTGTGCATGCAGGAAATCAAGCCTAACTTCACAACACCTGCACACAGATGGGCAGTGAGCTGGTCATTAGCTCTCAGGAACAAGACCTTGGGGCTATGATGGAGGCTCCTGTGTAAACATTTGCTCAGTGCCCTGTGGCAGAAAAAAGATATATCAAATATGAGGAATTATTAGAGAAGCAACATAAAATGAAACAGAAAACACCATTTTATCACTGTATAAATCCCTGATTCACTTGCACCTTGAATACTGTACTGATTTCCTGCATGTCCACAACAGTAGGCTAGAACTGGAAAAGATTCAAAGAATTGTAAAAAGAACGATCAGAGCTGTGGGACAGCTTCTATTATGACTAATTAAGCTACTCACCAGAAAGAGACAAATGAGAGGCTATTTTATATGATAGGGATCTACAAAATCAGGAGTGTCCTGCCAGAGCATGACTGTCCTTCTGGCCCATACAGTCAAGGCACTACTGCAGTACTTCCTCGTTGCGAATAGACCTTACCAGAATTTCAGATAGTGCTAAAATTTCAGAGACAGTATATCATACTGAGGAAAACCAGGTCTCTTTCATTCAGATGCAGATCCCCTTCCCTTTTCCCCTTCCCCTCCATTCCCTTTCTTGCAGTTACCTACAAGTCGCTTTTTAATTTTTAAATGGTGGCATGGGGAAAGCCAGCAAAAGAATAAATTAATGAAATGGCAGTCACTGATGAATAGGAACTAGCTACATGAGTCACCTGCTTTCCAGGACATAAAAGTAGACGAGGTGCCAAGAGCCGTCATTTTGTGATGATGTATGTTCACCAGACCTTCTGATGGACAAGTAATAATGTTTCTTCATCATAGCTTACCGTTAGGATAAAACAACTGCTTATTGACCTGTTTTGTAAGTTCATTGAAGGAGTTTTATATACTGCTTTCGAGATTCACATGTTCTCCACCTCCTCGATTCCCCACCTCCTTCCCCAGAGATGCTCAGGGGCAAAATACATATTCTTCTCTTTGCACCTCCAGAAAAGCAGTCATGAGTTCTGTCTCCCTCTGTTCCCTTCTCCTCACAGACCTTCTCCAACGCGTCCTTCAGAACAGGGATTGGGTGGTCCAGAGGTACTGGTTCAGGATAGCGAGGGCACATCTGCACAGCTTCTGATCTCACTTCCATCACAGATGGGCCTGGAAAACATTTCAAAGATAGCACACGTGACTTGACTAGACACTAACAAGCTTTAACCTCATCCAGGAGTCAGCACGAGCTTTTTTGCTTCTGTTGTCCAAAGCTGGAGGACACTTTGGCATAGGCAAAGAGACATTCTTGAATTGTTTCTATCATCTCACATAAAACAGCACTTTAAGAGGGCACTGTGCTCTGTTATTGCTTATTCCAACAAGGTACAGTACACGAATGAACAGGAGCTGCAGTAGGCTTCAACTGCCTCTGCAACCTGGAATAGTAAGGAAACGGGACTACAGAAGATTCTGTAGGGTACCTGACAGTGGGTTTAGACCCCATGAAAGTGCCCTGCCCATGTCTAGGGGAAAGTCTGTGTCTGGGTTCAGGAGGACAGGGTTGTCCCATGCATCTGACACTATAACAGCCTTTCACATGTCTTGTGAATTAGCTGCATCCTGCATATGCCAGAGACATATAATAAATTTTTGTGGCAAGTGAAGATCTTTAAACTCAGTAAGAGATTGGAACTCTCTTACTTGGAGGCACTGTTTTCCCAGTTGATCCCAAGGTGTTCATAAACACAACTCCTCTGCTCTGTAAGCTGTAAACAAAATGCTTATTTATCTTTTTGCTTACCAACCGAGCACGAAACATTAGAAATGCAGATGAGAAGTGAAATGGCACTACGAAAACTTTGAGATGAATGGGAGTGGATACACAAGAGCCTACAGGCAGCCTCTGATACTCTGTGATAAAAATGTAAAGTCTGAAATCTTTTCAGACATTGGTCTATGAAGTACTTCTGGCACTTTCACTGTGGATTTTATGCACCCTTTGGGCTACTTAAAACTCTGATCCAGTTACACTGCATATATTTCATCCTTGCGCATACAGTGGCTGGTCTATCTGTTGAGTTTTCCATAATCAGCGTAAGGGAGTTCTAGTGTGAACTGGGGGCTTGAGCCAGTTCAAAGATCTAAGACTAGGGGAAAAACAAAGGAAACAAACCCATAAGCTGAAACACATGTTAAGCTGTAAAACAAAACCCATTCTAAGCTGAAGTGACTTTTACAACAAGATGCTAAAGAAGAAAGATAGAGAATGTAAAATAAAATGTCTCCTTGATATATCAATTAATCTAGGTTGAAGCCAGAAGTACTGGCACTTCTCTGGATACCAGCAGAGTTACATGGTACTCCATCAACCCAATGTTCATCTCCTCTGTGTCCTTGCACCAGCTAGGAGGAGGTGAATTTGTGTGCTGTTTGGGGAAATGCTCTTTGGGGACAAAAGTCCACATGGGGAGAAAGGCGTTTATTGGTCTCATAAATTTCTGTGCCAAACCATGGCCAAGCTTAAAGATGACTACTCACGGGGCTCCACCTTGGGGAGGCTGTACTGCCACAGAAAACAGCCCGTCATTGCAACAGACAACAGGAAGAAGAAGATAAACAACATGTGAATCCACTTCACCTCCATAACAGTGAGCTTGAGGAGGCTCCGGCTGCCGGATGGCTGCTGTAAGCAGAAAAGATACGATCTTAGAGAGAAAAAAACTACCTGTCACGTATACCAATTAGCTGAAAAAGGCACACTACATCAGAGAATAAGGCCGGACTAATTCCAGTAGTATTGTGGAATACCAGACCACATCGAAGTAACTGGAACCAGAGATGACTTCTTGCCTTTCAGAGAGGTTTGCAAGATGTTGCTCTCCTTACCTTAATGGCCTTGGTGCTTGTAAAAGAACAGCACACACTCCTCTTGCCTTTTCCCCTCCCTGCAGGTGAATCTCATCAGCCCAGGCTGGCAGAATTCACTGTTACAGCACTCATTTCCTCCCTTCTCAACCATCATGACTTCTTCCTTGATAGCTCTCCATCTCCTATTTCCCAGAGTCCAGCATCTGTTCACAGCATCCACCGGCCAGATCATCTGAGCAGATCCAGCTTATATAGATGAAAGATGGAATTTTTCACCATATACTGCCCTCACCCTTTTATCTTGTGCCTGTAATTCCCATTATATCATGTACCATCTGTAAGCTTGGCATTTACAGATGCCGTGTTTTGGAAAACTGGCTAATATTTTGAGTTTGTGCAGCTCTCACAACACTGGAGACCATCCAGGCTGGTGATACCACCATATAAATGTTAGAGAAAAACAAGGAATGGATGACAAATGATTAAGTGCCTAAGCACGAGCTGTGCTCTTTCACCAACTGTAGGAGGTCAATAGGGTGCTTTTGAAAGTTTGGCAACTAATGTTCTAAAACATATGGTGTATCATTTGCATCCAATATGGTCCATATTCCAAAGCTGTTTCAGGTTGTCTGGACTCACTTGTAGGATAGACTAAAATACTCCTTTTAGATTTCCACGTGGCCCTTTCTTCTTTTTTGAGATACAGGATAGTTCATGCAAAAGCTTCTGCAAGTCAGCTGGGCCTTGTCACTCACAACAAGGGAATCTGCAGAGCGAATTCCGGACTTGCACAAGGTTCTGGCTCTGTAGGGACCCAGCTGGGGAATCTAGCCCCTGCTGAAACTCTAGGTTGCAATTCCATTTTCTATACAATAACAGAAATACATCACAATTATTTCTGAAGCTCTTTATCCAGTTCAGGCATTTCCACATAAATTTCTGCAGGTGTAGCTTACTTTGATTTCTTCCATAACATAACTAAGACTTCAAGGTTGGCTTAAGACCGTACAGGTGCCTGCAGATCCACACAGACCTGAGCCTCCCAGAGCACAGATGCAGTCCATATTCCAGCTGAGTGCCATGTGTTCCTAAACAGGGGAATGCCATTTTGACACCAAAACCAGCTCAGTTTAGACATACACAGTCGCATACAGTGCCTTAGTAGGCAGATCACATCCACACAAGCAGTAGCCTCTGTACTGAGGTCTCTTTAATCACCCTCATGCTGGCAGGCTTCAGTTTATGCTGAAGGATGTTTCCTAGAGATGCAATGAGATGCTGTTTTCCTGCAGCAAGGAGTGTGACAGGACCCTCTCTGCCCTGGAGTAGTCATGGGATGACTTTCTTGGGTTTAGTCCTGTCATATTAAGGTGACTCCTCCACTGACCTGCAGTTTCTCTGACCATTTTTCTGCCTCTTTCCTTGCTTCACTGAGAAACTGATTCCTGAGTCCCTAAGAGTGGGGTGAAAGGAAAAGGTTTTTCTGATATGTGCCTCATCTCATGATCTCCAGACTCCCTAGACCACTAACCAAGGATCCAAAGATACCAACACTGAACTCTCAGCCTTTAGTCCAGGCTCCCCTTTGCCTCTGGTGGATGATGAGTGCCCTGAATGTCTCTTTCGTACTCTGACCCTTAGTCTAGTGGCAATGCAATGAAATCATGGCAATGCTATGAAACTAGAGACGTGGATCTCTCTCGTGTTGACAGGGTATCAAATATGCAAAAGTGTGAGGAATATTCATCACCCTGAGGAGATGGTCTATCCTCTAACCCACCTTTCAGGAAAAATACAACTCTCCCCGTACCTGGAAGCCTGTCAGGCAAACAGATGATAGATACCTACAGACAGACTCCTCACACTTCCCACTCCAGGACCCGTCTGGTCTTACCTCCCTTTCAGCTGGTTCCTCCATCTCATGTACACTGCTCAGTGACCATCACTGCTAACAGCATAAAGACAGCAAGGTAGGGGAAGGGAGGCTACCAAGAACTCAGACGCATGCAAATAAATGCAAACACATGCAGGAACAAGTGCACACAGCTTCCCATGTGTAGGTTATCCGCATGCTACAATTTTCCCCCATGAGCTTTGAAAACTTGGAGGGGGGGGGAAGGGAAGAAATGGGGATTTCACATACATCACCCATGTGCAGCGTCCTGCCCCACCGTGCTGACATAGACAGACCACCACAGACCCTGCAAGCCGCTCCATCAGAGACACGTCTCAACCCCAGCTAGGAACAGCCCGAACGAGCCCCAGTCCCCTGCACGTACCATCACCAGGAGCCGTCCCGGTCCCAGAGGCTGTTGTCAGTCATCTCAGCACGTGCGTACTATAACAAAACCACACTGTCTGACCCCAGCCCCAGCGAGGGGGGAGCAGAGCACCTTGCCATGCTCCTAAATGCAGCTGGTCATCACGGGCAGGTGCTGCTCGGTCGCTCCACCTGAAGAGGCCATTCTTGGCTGCCCAACAGTCCTGCTCTGGGTTCTCCTGTCCATTTGACCCATTCAGACCCTTCAGAAACTGCTGCTGACCTCCCCTGGGTGAGGAGATTAAGAGACAGGGACAGAATGGCATTTGCTCTCAGGAAAGTGCCTGAGAGATTGAATGTTAATTCTTCCTAATGCTTCTCTGCCATGTGTGTGATCACAGCTGCAACCATGAGGGCTTTGCAATCTATTTATAGCTGCTTCATCTCCTCCTGACATCTGAACAGGAGGCAATTAACTCATGAGATGGACAGTCCCTGAGTGCCTCCAGCCACCGTCCCTCGGCGGGCTTGGGAGGGGGCAGGCTGGGGTGTTCGCAGGAAGGGGAGGTGGGGGAGCTTAAGCTGGGAGCTCAGGCACTCTCTGGACTTAATCCCGAACAGCCTCCTGGAGTCCCCTGCGGTGATAGGCAAGGGAGTCACTCCCAGCTAACAGGCTCACTAGACATAGATGGAGCTGGTATTTTCTTTCCCCTTAGCTGCTGGGGGCTCTGAAAGATGGTGGAAGTTTGTGATTTGCACAAGGTGAGCCTTACCCGCAGCTGTAACCCATCCATGGCTGCTCAGAAGTCTCTTCTCATTCCCTGTGCTGCCTGTCTCCACAAACGAAAGGCTCATAAAACCCTGTGATAAAGAGAAATAAAAAGTTAGTGCAGGAAAAAAATGGAGTCAGAGCAAGGAGTGAAGCCCAGAGTAGCAAAGGCCAGCTCAGGTCAGCAGACCAGTGGGAAGGGACTGGTTTTGGACAGGGAGATAAACCACAGCAACCACATAAAACCCCAGTAACACATTCCCTCTCCCTACCTCTGGTTTGGCAGCACTCTGTGACTTGCCAGGGCCCATGGCTATCCTCATTCCACCTCCCCAGCACAAGGAACTGGAGCCTTGAGACTTTCAGGGCTGACACATTTCCATTGTGCCTGCTCTGCAGGGTCTTTCCAGCCCTCTCCTTGGCCTTGCTCTCTCTGCACAGCCAACACCACCCTCCTTAGTCTTGGGAATCACAGACACGGCCAAGAAACTATGACAGATTTGGAAGTGCCAAGACAACGGCACAGCTGCCACCTCTCCCATAAGATTTTCATCTTGTCTTGCTACCTGGCAGTGGCAATTCAATAGGCAAACCCCCCCATAAGTGCTCTTACCAGCCTTGCTGCTACCCTCCGGCTTCCAGTGCTGATGAATTTGGGGCTGTCCTGGAGCTGCAGATGTTAAGAGCATCTGAAGCACTAATCCCAGCAGTCAGCCTCTCTGAGCACAGATTAATCGGCCATGCCTCACCCCTCCCCAAGCACTGCAGCATCTGTCCAGGCTGCAGTCAAAAGGGAGTATTGCTGGTGATGTTATGGCTCAGATAATACAGAAGAGTGGAAAATGGGGAGCTGGGGAGGAGGGTATCCTTAACACACCGTGAGCTGGAAATGTTAATAACGAACTGCCATTACCATGTAAAGTACATTACAAAATATCTTCAAAGAGGAGAACATGGTCATGCCCCCTGTTATGCATAAAATCTAGGGAGATTATGCACCTCAGGGGCCCTACCATCCTATTGCCTTCCTCAGATGCACACAGGTAGTGCTATTCTCTTCAATACCACCTCTTCACTTCAGTATTTCCAGTAGCAGCCCAGGCTCTGGCAGTGCTCAAAATATGCAAGTGGAGCCTATGCAGCCCTATGCCTGTGCCCCAGAGTTGTGCCCAAATTTTGGTGAACAGGGGTGCAGAAGACCTCCTTACTAATTACAGTAGATCTAGATGCTCACAGTTTTGCTGATCCTCATTTCTGCGAACTCCTGTTCTATTCTGTCTCTGCTACCATCCTCCCCAGACTTTCCTTCACAGTCTGTGCAGTGATCTTCACTCAAAGCCAAAGAGAAGCACACATGTAGGTCGCTCACCCTCTTTCCATATTACACATTGTCATCCCATTCCTTCTCCATTTTCACTCTGTTTTTATGAGTTCATTAAAAAAAATTTGAGTTTTTCAAGTCTCCAACTCAGTGTATTTTGCAGCAATTCACTCAATATCCCCATTTCTTTGCCTTCTCTCCAAGAGCAATTAGCTCTGTGCTTTTCCCCAAAAAAGGACCTGTGTACCCACAGCCACGATGGAGTCTCAGTCTTCCTTGGCTCAGCAGTGTTTCATAAGTTTCGCTTTCATGTTTTTCAGCCCCTCCTTGCAACTGAATGGCCTTTCACTGGCTCAGAGATGGGTCCCATCTTCAAGAAACCTCAAAACGCGGCAGAAGAGGTAAGAAGAGCTCGTGCCTGCTCTG